TTCGTCCTGCTACTAGCACTAATTAGAAACCAGAATTCCAATTTTTCAAATTGTTAAATCAGAATCCAATGGAACTGCTTTGCATTCTTCACGTAATGTCGTTTACCTTCTACATTTGCAGACTTTGATAGTTCGCCTTGTTGTTCTCTAAACGATTACCGGTAATAAATTCGCCTTTCTGTTTTACGTCGTTTTGAGCAGGCTTTTTGGTTGTTTTTCTGCCGGATGATCTGACCCGGCTGGCCTGCATGCACCAGGTACACTCTGACCGGGCTGTGTTGAATGTCTAGAGCAGGCCCTGACTTGCCCCGCAAAAAGGTGACGGCCATCATAGATGCATACCGTATTTCCTCGATTAATGGACCATGCTCGAATAACAGACCATGCTCAAATAGTAGACCCTCCTAGAGGCCTCACGGAAAAATAGTAGACCATGCCCGAATAAGAGACCCGGTCTCTTATTTGAGTTCATCGCTTTGCGCATGCGCACTAAGAAAGCACGTGGTGGATCAAAAAAGGACGCGATTTTAGGTTGCGCAACTACAATTTTTGTAGTGGCTAGTGCTTTCTTTCATTAATAATTTGAGTTTGAGCATGGTCCACTATATTTTCTTCGGCATAGAACTATAGGACCATCGGCATAGAACTTCTATATTATGACGTGTTAAAATTCCACCATTTCCAGCGATGTGCCGATGAAAATATAGTGGACCATGCTCAAATAATGGACCATGCCCAAATAAGAGACCAGGGGTCCAACCCTCTTCAAAAAACAAAAGACCGGGTCTATTAATCGAGGAAATACGGTACCTCCCATTTGGAAATTGCACATTAAATCGTGTGAAGACGGTATCATAGTGGTGTCCGTGTGTCGCGGGGTTGGGTTCAATTGTAAGCCCATGCGCTTATACGTGAGGGTGCGCTTATGCCCGGATATACTAGGCATGTGCGCTTCAATGCGCGTCACTGCGGTATGGTGTTGGCCTCAGAGCACAACTGTGTTTTGGAGAATGCCCTGGCTTGTGGGGATTGCCCTATCAAAAATGTGATAATAATATTAATTTGATAATAATATGATCACCATCAGTTACCAATGGCCGAACGTTCCTGCTAGCCTTCTGAATATCCTTTTTTCAAAACGAATACTTATTGAAACACGGGGTGGGGGGGGGGGGGGGGGTAAGGTTACCGGTACGCCTGCCTCACAAAACAGTAGCATGAAGGAGTTCGCTGTCCTGAAGAAATATAACAATAATTATTTCTTCAGGACAGCGAATATTATTATTGCCGTTGGTGAGGTTCGGGGCCAACTTCCACAGCGGCTCCGCCACTCCACGGCATGTTGGGTTCTGCATAGATGCTCCCTCTCCTCTCCCCATCCAGACTTTCTCCCTCGCTCTCTACAGTATAGTTCCCTTTCCCAATTTCTGTCACGATCTAGGCGATTACAGAATGACTCGACTTGATGCCAAAGTGCATTGCGTATCTTGACACCACTCACTTCTTCCGTACACGCTGCCCTTCTCCGTTCTGGACCAGGCCGTTGGTGACAACATGTCTTCCAGCTTGGCATTTGGCCACCTCGCTTCCATCATCATCACTTCATTGTGGAAAATTTGCTGGAACGGTTCTGGATGCTGAGCGATGAACTCGTCAGGTAAGCTGGCCATCATGATGCTGCCTTTGTACGGCTGCCAGGTTAGGTTGGAGATATCGGCCGTTCCCTTCACCAACACCGTCGTTACCAGTTCATTGTTGTAAGCCTCTACTCGTAACGAACACTGTTCTGGCCAGTCACTCACACTCACACTTTCCCGGTATGTTCCAGTGCGCACGGCACAGATGTGATGACTTTGTTGCCAGCCATCAGTCTGCCATCCATGTCCGCCATCACCGTTGCTATCATCATCGGTAGGTGGGCCGGTTCCAAACCTACCTCCAGTTGACCTTGATAAGGACCATTGCAGGCAGAGTTGATGTTGAACATTCACACACGTCTGGATTTGTTTGAATGGGTTTTCCAAGCTGCCAATCGGTGCTTGGTTTGGCTCACCCCCAGCCAGCCACTGATCTACTTCGGACTTCGTCGGATCATGACATGTACTTGCATCCACGATCATCCGAAACTCGCCATCACCAATGGCCGCATCAGCCTCCTTCACCGGTTGCTGGGCGAAAATGGGTGAAACTGAAGCAAAAGCGAGAAAAGCGAACACAACTGCCATTGCCATGCCGACCCACCACCAAACGTCTCGTCTTCCATGCAAGACGTACTCCAAGTCCAACGCGCCGCGACAGGGCGCATGCGTGACAAAGTAGCAGGCCTGCGCATGCAGGGAGTCGCGAAACGGTTTTCAGGGTTTTCACGACTCAGGCCCAGGTGCCGTTCCGGTAGATCATTATTTTTCTCGGCGCATTTTCTCTGTCGGATGGTTGCTGGTGATTTGTTTCAGTCGTGTAGTTGTGTGCGGTGTTCTCCATTGTTCATTGTGGACAGAACAGTTCATGCCACTAGCCAGTGAAGCCGGCGTGGACAGAGACTCAGACTGTGGCGGAGTGGTTGGTTGTGACGCTGGGTTTTGCTGACGGCGCGATGCCGGACAGTGTGCGGTACAATATCAAGTACTTGGTATCCAATCTAGATGTGTCACTGATCTTGGAGGACCTGCTAGAGAACGATGTCCTCAGCGAACAGGAATATGACACTGCCTCTGGAAAGGAAAATGAAAAGTTGGAGCTGGCAAAGTATGTGGTGAGGTTGATGCTGAAGAAAACGGAGGAACAGGTGGATTCGTTCCTGAAACTAGTTGAACACAGCCAACGTGATGTAGCGGAACATGTCGCCAGTACCATGGCGAAGCGCCGCGCCGCGAAGCCAATGTCGGCAGATCGCGAGTCAACACGTGGCTCGCCCTCCGGTAAGTTTTTACATAGAAGATGATCCATAATGGTTTACACACACATACATGTAAGGGGCCGTCCGTAAATATCGATGTTTTTTTTGAGACGATATTGGTGCTTCTCTCCCTTGACCCCCACCCCCCCCCCCCCCTCCCCCCAGAAGACGCACATGTACATCTAGATCATGGAATCAATATTTTTGGATGCTCATTTTTTTTCCTTTTTTTGTCAATAATATGAACCCAAGATGGCAAGTTTGCAGTATTTATATGGTCTAATTGAGAAGGAGAGCATTATGACTTTTTTGGTCGCCCTCGATAACACTTGTGGCCAGCAGCCTTCTTGTGCTGCATTAGCCCATAGTAGGTCCGTGTTTGTTCGCACTGCCTCTACGTCTTGAAAAAAGTCTCCTGCAGGCATCATTCGGCCGATTTCCACAATCAATAGCTCATTCTTTTGCTCTTGAAATTCGCCATGGGCGTACAGCTTCCAATTTTTGATTTTGTTCTTGTGTCGCGAGTTTTAGCTCCGCGAACGGAAGCTGGTTTCACATTTCTTGTATAGCCATTTAGACGTCCGCGTGCAGGGATCGACGAAACTTCAGATAATTACATCGATATTTTTCTGATGCTCGAAAAGACGCACATGGCTCAAACCCCCCCCAGACGCACCAATGTTGTCTCTAAAAAAACATCGATATTTACGGACGGCCCCTAATGGCACACTTTCTGCAGTAATCGACCTTCTCTCGCGCGGAGCTAAGCAGAATGTGCGTCATCAGACATCACTCCGTTGGTCGCTATGGCAACATGAATCACACAATTGGGAAGCTTGGCTTATCGTATGCAAGCGAGAGATATGCCATTCGAAGAAGTTGTCGCTTGTTTGCTGAAAGTAGGAGCCCGAATGGCAGCACAAATAGGGGATACAAATCACAAACATTGGGGTACGGCGATCCCGCCCCCCCCCCCCCCCCCTCACTTTTGTTCTGGATAACCCTACTCTATGAACCTGTCAATGACTGGTGGGTAGTGCACAGCGGATAGTGGATAGTGGATAGTGGATAGTGGATAGTGGATAGTGGATAGTGGATAGTGCACAGAGGATAGTGGATAGTGGACAGCGGATAGTGGGTAGTGGGTAGTGCACAGCGGATAGTGGATAGCGGATAGTGGATAGTGGATAGCGGATAGTGGATAGTGGATAGTGGATAGCGGATAGTGGATAGTGGATAGTGGATAGCGGATAGTGGATAGTGGATAGTGGATAGTGGATAGTGGATAGTGGACAGCATGTGTATGTAATGCACAGTAAACTATTCAATTTGCCGTAGCACACTGTCTGGCGAGGAACACAAACCTAGTAAATGCGGGATGCTGTGTCATCAGGTCACTCCACCCGTATACTCGCGAGAAGTTCATATGCACACGTGTGTATACATGTTCATGCGTTCACAGTACACAGTGCACTGCACTGGTACGGCGACTTGTGTGTATATATCACTACGGGATCATGTTTGATTGGGAATAGGAACCGTACGCTGTTCAGCAAGCCTGCTCATACCAAGACTATACAACTTAGAGTACAAAACACTACAGGTTCTGAGATTTTATTCTGTTCACGAGCTTCTATAAATATGAGGAGGTGTTTTCTTTGGAAATATCCACACAAATCACTGTCTACTAATAGAGGACTTTCCATTACATCACCTTTTTGGCGCCTTCCCGGTGTTCACCCAAAGATCACCCATAAGACAAGCCCGTGTCCTACGGTAAAATGTGCTTGGGTGGCAAAAAGAGAATCAAATGTGTTGTTCGGTGTACGGTTCAAATGATGTTGCAGGCCGTCGCAGTGATTGAGTGATTGATTGATTTTTATTTAAGGATTGTCCGTGGTGAAGCACTTTTGCTTTTCTTTGATGTGGTGAATAGTTTCGGTAAGTCGCGAGGATTACTAGCCTCAGTTACTCTACTCTTTTTCCAGCCTTGAAGAGGCGTTGCCGCGAGAAGATTGACAGAATCCGTAGGCCCAGTACATTGATCCATATTTACCTATGGACGAAGACCTTTCAGCCAATCCCCCTGCGTTGGGTATCCAGGCCTCTCTAAATATTTAGTGAATGTCCCCAGCACATATGCAAAGGACTCTCTAAAGGCTTACAATAGCCCTGATGGATACAAATGCATGTGTCTCATTGCTGGCTGGGTTGGCACATTATCGTGTCTTGCCCAATCGAAGGAAGAAACAACTGTCAACAAAATTCGTTTGCAAACGTCAGGCACTCGCGGAGTGTTTTTGCCGAACCTGTCCATCCTTGGGTAGCTGCTGAACTGAAAGTTACCTGGAATTGTTCTTGGCGCACACTGCACTTGCATGGTGGGCCTGGGAGCAGCATGCTCCCATGTTGCTGCAGTTCAGGACTGAATTCACGCTGGAGACTGAAATGTGATGTGTGCTGAATGTCAACACCTACACCACTGGGTCACCAGTGGCTGGCACCGTCAATGAACACTACACGAAAATAGTGTACATGGATTTTACTTCAGCTGGGCAGAAATTGGAGCACCGTGCCCATAACCTACAAGTAGTCTCACTAATCTTTCGCTGCCTCACTCTCTCTCTCTCTCTCTCTCTCTTGCTTCGCATGCCTGTCAGTGTATCCATGTGTGTGTGTGTGTGTACGTGTGCGTGCGTGTGGGGTTTTTTCTTCCTTATCAGTACGAGTATGACAATGTTGACATGTGGTGGCTGGTAGCACGAAAGCTGACAAAGTCAAACACGGCCATCATCATCATTGCTCCTATGTAGCCAAAAAAGCTGGTGTAGTGGCGAACTTAGTTGTCCTGATCTTAAAACACGCTGATGAATGCACATCCGATACAGCAATTGTTTTTTCCTGGTCGTCCCTCGACCTGGCATTCTCCATAAGCAGTTGCTGATTACCGGTAGAGTGTCCTCCATTACTGCCTTTGCAAGAGTTACACAAGAAGTAAGATCAAGATGATCCTCACCACAAGAAGATCAAGAAGCTGAATACATGTACCTAATTGTCCAGAAAGACAGAAGATGAGGTATACTAGTATGTGCCGCAGCAGATGAAGAACTGCACAGCGCAGCAACCAAGTGGAAAGCAGAAGAAGATTGCGCAAGTAGGTCGATCAGAGTATTTATCCATGACAAAGGAAATACACATTGTGCAGAACATGAAGCATACACACTCGCATGGAAGAGATAATGAGTTGCACCCAGGGCCAGTACTAGACTATACGTCTATAGCTAGCACCACCAGTCATGTAGAGGCACGTGCATAATAGAGCTGGGTACATTAGTCATTACCATCAGCATCAGCATCAGCACTATCAATCATCAAACTCCAGCTATACCTTGCACCCCAACAAACTAAGTAAGTTGATAGTGTTCAGAATCATCTTCGTGTTTCCGCCTTTACTGGTGCTGCCACAAATGAGCTGAACAAGTTAGTTAGTTAATTCGATGCGTACTGGGGTGACAGGGATGATCATGACTTTTCTCTTCGCCAACGAAGTGATGGAACAATATTCGTGTACTTCGAAGTATTTGCATAAGGAGCGAAGTTCTCGAGTCGTGTGTCCGTCATCCACTGGTTCCGTCGTTCTCAATCGTAGGGAAAACGATAACAACTCAAAGACGATCCAGGTGTGGGAACATCCGATCGCGAGCAGCCCTTTGGTATTCTCAAACTACAGTATGCAAAATGGAATGCTTTCGAAAAACACTGTTTCCTTCCAGTGCAGTCTTCTTTTTTTGCCACCCAAGCTCCGTTTCAAGTCCGGTGATCGGTGGTGAACTCGATGATCTTTGGCCCGAATCCTCATAGGCCGCACGGCATGACTCATTGGAAAGTCATCTATAGGGTGTAGTAGAGAACACTCTTCCAACATTGGGGAAAGTGTATCACAGTCACGGTGCAAGTTTAACTGGGAATATTGAACAAAGGTCAGTGTCCCCGGCCCGCAGACCAACAGCATTTGGCACAGTAACCAGAATACTTCACGTGGTAAACAGTTTGATTCCGGGCCGTACATCCTTTTTAAAGAAAGAGAGAGTTTCAAAAACCGCAATAGGTTTTTGGTGACCGGCTGATCGTTCCTAAGTGTTAGTCATCCCAAGATCATTTGCATACGGAGATGTGCACCTACTGGTCATTCCACTTAGGCCTACCATAGACCCAAAGCACAGACACATCAGGATGACAGAGTACTCAGGTCTGGTATAGAAAGATTTGAGAAGCAAGAAGTAAAACTAAGAAAAAACTGCAAAAGCCAAACCCGGGTCAAACAGACAATTTTGCTTGAGCGGTAGCGGAGCTCCTATAAACAAAGCCTATTAAAGCTACAGTAAAACCTGTCAAGGTGACCACTCGGATAAGGCGACCACTCAGATAAGGCGACCACCTGTCAAGGTGACCACTCGGATAAGGCGACCACCTTTCAAGGCGACCACTCGGATAAGACGACCACCTGTCAAGGTGACCACTCGGATAAGGTGACCACCTGTCCCAGACGAACACTGCAGCCAGGACCAAGGAATGCTATTTCCAGTCAAATAACATTGGATGCG